ATTTCAGGATTTTTTTGAGGTTTTTTCAGGGGAGGGTTTCAGGGTTTTTGCCCTTCCCCTTTTTCCCCTTTCTCTTCTTTCCCTCCTTTTTTTTTCTTTTTTTTTTTCCTCTGTTTCTTTCTTAATTTTTCTTTCATTTTCTCTCCTTTTCTCTTTTTCTTTCCTTTTTTTTTTCATCTTTCCAATTTCTGTTTTCTTTTCTTTTCTTCTCTCTCTTTTTTCCTCCTTTCTCCTTTTTTCTACTCTTTTCCCCTTTTCCCTTTTGTCCTTTTTTCTTTTTTCTTTCTTTCCCCTTTTTTCTCCTCTTTTTTCCGTTTTCTCTCTCTTTTCTCCTTTTTTCCCACATTTCCCCTTTCTTTTTCCTTTATTTTCTCTCTTTTCTCCTCTTTTCCCACCTTTCTCCTTCCTTTTTCCTTTACTTTTTTCTCCTTTTTTCCCCACTTTTGCTTTCTCCTTTTCCTTTATTTTTTCCCCATTTCCTCTTACTTTTCCCTATTTTCCCCCTATTTTTTCCTTTATTTTTCCTCCTGTTTTTCTCACCTTCCCCCTCCTTTTCCCTTTATTTTTCTCCCGTTTCTTCTCTTTTTCCCACCTTTCCTTCCTCCTTTTCCTTCATTTTTTCCATTTCCTGTTTTTTCCACCTTTCCTGCTATTTTTTCTTGATTTTTTCTTCTCTTTTTTCTACCTTCCCCTGCTTATTTTTACCTCTTTTTTCTATTTCTCCCCTATTTTCATTCATCATTTCTCCCTCTGTTTTCCTCTTTTCCCCACTCCTACTTTTTCTTTTTTTTCCCCTTTTTTCCCACTTCCCCCCTATTTTTTCCTTTATTTTGTCTCCTCTTTTTCTCACTTTCCTCCTCCTTTTCCCTTTATTTTTCTCCCATTTCTTCTCTTTTTCCCACCTTTTCTTCCTCCTTTTCCTTCATTTTTTCCATTTCCTGGTTTTTCCACCTTTCTCGCTGTTTTTTCTTGATTTTTTTCTTCTCTTTTTTCTACCTTCCTCTCTTTCTTCGTGCTTATTTTTCCATCTTTCTTCCATTTTCCCTTTATTTTCATTCATCATTTCTCCCTTTTCTCCACTCCTACTTTTTCATTTTTCCCCTTTTTCCCCACTTCCCCTCTATTTTTCCCTTATTTTTTTTTCCTCTTTTCCTTCCCTTCCCCCTCTCCTTCTCTCCCCTCTTCCCCNATTTTTCCCTTATTTTTTTTTCCTCTTTTCCTTCCCTTCCCCCTCTCCTTCTCTCCCCTCTTCCCCCCCATTTTTCCCCCCAAACCCCACGATTTTGGGGTTTTTTTTTCCCAGCCTTTGCCGATTACATCCTGATGGAGCCGAGCGAGGAGTACGCGCCCACCTTCGCGCTGATGCAGGAGAAGATTTACATGAGCAAGATCGTGGTGGAGTTCCTGCAGAACAACCGCCACGTCAGCTACGAGGACCTGCTCAACAAGATCGAGGTGACAGCGCCACCACCGTGGTGGCACCTCCCTGTGGTGGCACCTCTCCGTGGTGTCACCTCTCTGTGGTGTCACTGTCACCATGGTGTCACCTCCCTGTGGT